CAGTATTTACTACAACACATACAGTATTTACTACAACACATACAGTATTTACTACAACACATACAGTATTTACTACAACACATATAGTATTTACTACAACACATACGGTATTTACTACAACATATACGGTATTTACTACAACACATACAGTATTTACTACAACACATTTAGTATTTACTACAACACATACAGTATTTACTACAACACATATAGTATTTACTACAACACATATAGTATTTACTACAACACATATAGTATTTACTACGACACATACAGTATTTACTACAACACATACAGTATTTACTACAACACATATAGTATTTACTACAACACATACAGTATTTACTACAACACATACAGTATTTACTACAACACACATATAGTATTTACTACAACATATACAGTATTTACTACAACACATACAGTATTTACTACAACACATACAGCTCCCCGTGTGAAGACAGGTCCACCTGTCGATAGCGTTAGGATTTTATTATTATAATATTTTGTTTCTGAATTTGTTTTATCAAATCTTTCATTCGTGTAAAGGTAAAGGTAAATTACCTGCACATGGTCATCCTTAATTTTCAAGTGATACACTAGATAGAAGGCAGTTAGTCAACAGCACCAGCCGCCAAATCTTATATTACTCTTTTCCAATCGAATAGTGAGAGTTGACTGTTACTCTTATAGTATATCCACGGCTCCAAAGTGCGGTAGAAGGACGTGAACCATGAATTCTCGGATTCAGAGTCCTGGCACTTTATCCACTAGGCCACATTCGGCTCCAATTTTATTTTATTTTTATCCTATGTACGTTTTATAAGTAACAACATAAACTTAACGCGCCAACGTTTAATTTAATGTCTTCAAAGCACATCTGGCTGAAACTACCTTTTTTTGTAAACATAGTAATTTATTGTTCACATTTAGTTTCAAGGTCTCACGCGCATCACCTTCCTTTGCCAACAATCCGATATACAGAATAAGTTCTACGTGAGTTAACTCCCTCCTGTAAAAAAAAGAAAGAAAGAAAAAAAGGCAGAAGTTATGTTGTCTTACGTCATATCATATCTACGTAACTACCATTCGTGAATCAGATGGCCCTGACGTTGGCTAATTTTACGGCTTACGCGCGTATAGTTACATTTACGCAAGTCCTGGAGGCTGTGCTCAACCTCTTGGCCCGCTTAGTTTTCTGCTGTAGACTACGTAAATCATATAACAAATATTCTATTACGCAAGCTTATATAAATAAACGTTATGCGTGATTTCGAAACTCTCCCACGCCTGCAACAGTTTTCTCTCCTCTAATAGTAAAATGAATAATGGCGACGTAGCGCCCCACATCAATGTACCAAATAAAAACCAAGCCCGTACAGCGACAGTTAGAGTGTAGAATATAATGAACCCACCAATAAAGATACAAAATAATAAGTAAACACAATAAACCTTTTTTTTTATTAAACTGTATTTGCATGATCACTGAACCAGTCTCGTACTACAAGCGATCAAAGTAGGCTTACCAAGAACAAAAAAGTATTTATAAATAGTAGTATAAAATACAAACGTTCTGGGGGGGGGTTTGCTATGAGTCCTCTATATTTAATATGATGGATTATCAACACTTGGCAAGATGTCTATGAGATAATATTTATAGAGTGGGTTAACCATTGCCTCTCGGCAGCACCCTTGTTGCAGGTGACAGGAATTGATGACTGATTTATGCAAAATTACTTTTTAAAATCTGATTAAAATAAAGAAAATTTCAACAAATAATTTTCTTGGTAGTATATAAAAAAAAGATAGACATAAATACAGATGTCAAATACATCATATTAAAATGAATTTACAGCCTCATCACTTCGTTACAGTCCATGTTGCCACGTCCAGTCGTGCTATATCTGACAATCGTGTATCTTGATAATGATCCAGTAGCGTTGATTCAAAAGGCTTCGGTCATGAGGCTCTCATATCCAAAACACACAACTCTTCCCTACATGCATTCCATAAACCATCTTAGTGTACGAGGACGACGATTTCCCAGCGATAGTTTCTACAGTCCTATCACACAGAATCCCATAAACTCTGGGTCCGGTGACATGAATACTATACCATGAATACCATGCCATTCTCCAGGTTCTTGAGACATGCTATGGTTGATCGGATATGTAGTGGAAGCAACTTTTTGTATACGTGACTTGTGTCGCTTTTTCCAGATAGAGGTCCTTCTTAATTGTGTTGCATACTGTTGCCTAGGTCATGCAGACGACGGCTTTTGCCTTGAAAATTCCAAATCTCCGATCCGAATACGTCTTTATGGTTTGAATGTATAGATATTTTGTACCGGAAAGAGATTTTACTTACCCTTCTTTCAATCGATCGATTTTCAATGGTATAGCATTACCTACAAACGCTAAACGATGTCAAACTGTAATTCTGATGCATGCCGTTCCATCGCGACCTTATATCGGCCGTGGCTTCACGTGATTTGATAATTTCTATCATTTTAATATAACCTACACAGCTCTCTGTGTATTAATTAGTGAAACTCTTTTTTTCACTACCATAAGAAAACTTCAGTCTTGCCTTTTCTGCATCATTAACAAAGGCCCGGCATGGACAGGCGGTCAGGGTACTCGACTCGCAATCTGAGGGTCGGGAGTTCTAATCCCCGTTCCACCAAACATGCTTGCCCTTTCAGCCGTGAGGGCATTATAATGTGACGGTCAATCTCATTATTCGTTGGTAAAAGAGTAGCCCAAGAGTTGGAGGTGGGTGGTGATGACGAGCTACCTTCCCTCTAGTCTATCACTGCTAAATTAGGGACGGCTAGCGCAGATAACCCTCGTGTAGCTTTGCGCGAAATTAAAAACAAACAAACAATTCATTAAGAACCACAAAAAAAACAAAACCAAAAAAAGTGAGTTTGTCATAATAATTTAATTCGATTTGAAAACACATTTCTTAAATACTTAAACATCGTATGAATGAAGGCACCAATGTAATGACATAAATACGATACTGAGTTGGCTAATATTGCACGCTTCGGCCTAGTGGTTAGTATGTCTGGACTGTAAATCTGAGAATTCAAGGCTTGTGGCAACACTTTGAGGTCGTATAATTAAATGTTGTCAAATCCCATTATTCGGTCACATAATTGTAACCCAAGATTTGTCAGTGGGTGCTGTTGACTTCAAGTTTAGAGGTTCAAAATTAGGTTAATCTATCCTCTCAAATAACTTACACGCCCCATGTGTTACAGAGTTGCTCTGTGGTTGGTGGAAGTTTTTTACTGCAAAGCGTTCCTATTTGTTGACTGAATTATTACTTCCGCCCGTGCACGAAGGTAATTGGATGCCCACGTGCGTGGAGTTCTTGTGTTTTGGAGACACCCGGCGCAGCTCATGAGTTAAAAAAAGTGGCCACAGATCTGAATAAAACACACGAGAAAAGTAGCGAACTGGCAGAGAAATCTTTTGAAGCATTCAGCTCAAATCGTCCCTAACTTAACAGCTAGGAAGAAGTGGAATCATGACAGGCCAGGCCTTAAAGTCAGCTCTCTTGTGGTGTTTGGTGGCCACACTGATATCTGGACAACCCTTTGAGGTGAGTAATGCTCTAAATGCTTCTACTAAATAAATATATTTATTTGATAACAACTGCATTTAGTATTTAGAATTTAGTACGTTTTACAGAAGGTTTAGGTAGAAGGTACCCAATCAGTACATGAATTTCTTATAGTACTATTTTATATTGGAAGTTAAAGATAATATTAGCAAAGTTTGACAATTGAAAGGTTTACGACACTGGTGATGAAAGATTGTATATTTATATCTGTAGACTTCCAAAACGTTTATCTGCGTCTCTTCTGATATAAATACACAATGTTTTTCATCATAAGTGTCGTCATCCTACTTATTGTAATGAGACCATATAAAACAACATGGCTCGCTTTCAATAGTCGCATTTGAAGGAGAAAAAAAAAAGAAAGAAAAGTTAAAGTGGTAGAAAATTAATCAATGCAAGGGGGATAAAATTGATTAACATCTCTCTTGTTGGTCTTTATGGGCCCACAACGGGTATCGAAACTCGTTATAAGCTTTCAGACTTACCGCTGAGCCACTGTAAAATTATCACTTGATATTAATTCTACGATTAACTGCTTTATTTCACTTTCGGATAAAGGCATTGATAAATTGCAAGAGTTTTAGGAATAGCATCCGCTGTAAAGAAAACTAAAACCATAGTTACATTTCGGATATTATAAATTTGATTTATTCGTTGTGAAGTTCCGCTTTTTAATCTAGTTTAAAACAAACATTTGATTTTTCTGCAAACACACTGCGCAGACCTGGCACAGAGAGGAAATTTCGGTTGTTGCAGCCCATTTTGTAATGTTAAGTATTATTAGCTTTTGCTGTAAACCTTGAAATAGATACAAACATTTTAGTTTACTTTACAGGATTTTCGATTAGGAAAAGGTAAAATTTCCTCTAATAAAATTACTGTTATTCTTGTCACAGGATGTTATAAAGAACTATAACAACAACAACAACAACAAAAACATGAGGAAAACTGATCCTCAATCGTCCATTTTCCAGCAGATCTGTTTTCATCTGTTGGAATTTTTACCTCATGTGATCAGCGTATCTAACAATTCAGCAAATTTTAAGTGTAACAAGTACACTTTGTGTATAGGTTTGTTTGTTTTTG